ATAGGACAAGAAAGTTTAGGAATCACTGGATTACAATGTAATCTAAATTTAAAAAAGTGTAATCTAAATAATTTTATCATATGTTTTTTAAATTCATCTCTTTAATTGTAATAATTTTTTTAATCATTTGATTCTTTTTATTATAGTTTTTAAATTGATTAGTTTTAATTGATTGACACTAATTTGTTAATTGTCTAATTGTATTACCTTAATCCTTTAGATATCAAAAAATAAATAACATAACATATTAATTAGCTGTGTGCCCTGTCGACAACGCTGTGTGCCGCGTTGTTGTGGCTCAGTCTAATTACCACGTTGAGCACCATGCTCATTTTTAACCCTTTCGCGCCGAGCGCCGCATATATGCGGCATCCACTCGACGACCTGTGGGTACGGGCGCCGCATATACGCAGCATCCACGCCACGACTGCTGGGTACGAGCGCCGCATATGTGCGGCATCGAAAATGATCTGTACAAGTGCCATCTATAATCGATGGCAACATTTTTCATTATCGGCAGAGCATTTTTCTTTGATTTTATTGACGAATTGGATTGGATCATTCGATCGTTTACTGTTTTATAGCGAACATTCTATCGAATCCATTAGGCAGTAAACGATTTTACATATTTGGTTTTTACAGGAATTAGGAATAGATCGGCTTAAGGTATAACTATTAAAAATTAGACTTTTGAGGTTAGGGTTTTATTTGAAAATGTATTTACAAAAATATCTTAGGCCCTTTCAGAATGAGTACAAAGCATAAAAATAGTATTATGTCTGAAACTGAAGTAGCCGATTTTGAAAATGAAAATAATGTCCACCGGTGTAAAAGACGACGGAGAAATAATATATGCAGTACTTCAGAATCAGAAGCAGAGKTAATTGACGATAATACAAAGGACACCCAGTGCAACACAACATGGACATCGAAAAATTTCGCACCAAGGATTCATAAATTTTCCTCAAAAAATTCAGGACTAAAGAAGRAAATAGGAAGATCGTCAAAAATTATCGATTACTTCGAACTATTTTTTTACCAAGAGCTCGTAGAATATATTGTAGATGAGACTAATTATTACTCGGCTCAAAAGAGCAATAACAACATGTATACTCAAAAAAACACGACATTAGAGGAAATGTACTGTTTCTTTGCGTTGTCACTACTCATGACACGTAATAAAAAACTAACGTTACACGAGTATTGGAGTACGGATAAATTTTTACAAAGTAGTATTTTCAGTGAAGTAATGAACAGAGATCGGTATCTTTGGATACTACAGATGATACATTTTACCCGTCAACAAGGGCCCGCTGAAAATCATCTATATAAAATAAGTGACCTAACAAACATGCTACGAGAATCGTTCTGCGAGACATTTTATCCATATGAAAAAATTTGTATTGATGAAAGCTTGATGTTATATAAAGGTCGGCTTTCCTTCAAGCAGTACCTTCCGTCGAAAAGGAATCGATTTGGAATAAAATCATACATACTCTGTGATTGTAAAACAGGCTATGTCCAAGATCTTATAGTTTACGAAGGAAAGTCAACTGTTACAGAAAGTGACATCAGCGGAATTGGAAAATCAGGTGCAATTGTTTTATCGCTCTTGCAACCATATTTAGGCCAAGGTCACACACTGTACACTGATAACTTTTATTCGAGCCCAGCATTATTTAACTTTTTACACGATAACTATACGAATGCATGCGGCACTGTCAAGAAAAGACGTCAAGGAATGCCGAAGATGGAAGAGAGACTGAAAAGAGGAGGAGCATGTTTTCGTACAATAAAAAACTTGCTAGCGTTGAAGTGGATGGACAAAAAAGAAGTCTATATGATTTCCACTTTACATACTGTAAATTTTGAAGCAGTATCGAGATATGGAGGGCAACAGAGTGTCCAGAAGCTCATTTGCATCACAGATTACAATAAGTCAATGGGAATTGTAGATAAGGTGGACATGGTACTAAGTACCGTAAATTCAACGCGAAAATCACTAAAATGGTATCAGAAATTTTTTTTCCACCTCATGGACATCTGTGTGTGGAACGCATATTGTATGTACAAACATAATCGGAGAGAAACAATATCGATGGCAAAATTTCATCTGACGCTGATAAAACAGATAGTCCAAAAGTATCGTCATAATGCAACGGGACGTCAAGGCAGACCCGCTGATAATCCGATGAGGTTAACCGACAGGCATTTTCCCACATTTTGTAAGCCGAAAAACAGAAGACGACGAAGTGTGATTTGTAGCAAAAATGATAAAAGAACGGATTCGTGGTATGAGTGCAAAGATTGCGATATTGGCCTTTGTATAGATCCTTGCTTCAGAATATACCMCACAGAATTATATTATTAGTTTTTATATATCTTTTACGTATTATATTTACACATTATATTTTAATAATTTTCCTCTCGTTATTAATTATATTAAACATTTAATCGTTAAGTTTTGTAATTATATAAATACCTATGTTACCTATAATTTTGTACTTTGTACATTAATAAATTTATAAGACTTTTCATATTAACAATGTAAATATACTTATTACATTAGAGCAATGATTGTTTTATTCAGCACAGTTCCTATTTAGGACTTAGAACAACATATATACAGAAACCACGCGCACTGTGCATATTTTCGGCGCGAGTTTCCGTTCAGTGACGGTACTTCGGCGGACGGGGCTGCCGTAGCGAAAGGGTTAAGGAAGTCACCGTCAGGCCACGCGCGCTGCTTAGAAATATAATGTTATACGCTGTCAGGCAGCAATGGCTGACGCACCCTAAACGGAAAGTCAAGTGTCTGCCATCGTTGGCGGACATAGTGTTCCACGTGTTAAATAGAAAAGAAAAAAAAGAGAAAGCATAAGTTTTTAAAATGTTACACCTTCCTCTTTCGAGACGAGCTCTCGGCTCTTTATGGGAACTTTAATCTTTCCGTAGACGAAAAGACGTATAAACGGCATTTTTCCTTTAAATGATAACGTAACTTGCCTCCTCCGCTCTTTAGAAGACAATACAAAATAATTAATCTCAATTTCAAAACAATATAACACAAAATCAAATACTAAAATACTCAATTAAATGAAATTAAAAATTGAATATAAATATTGAAAAACGAGCTTTAATACACTCATAATACACTCGTCGTTAACCTGCACCGAATCAAGAAGACAATCATTGGTTTCCTTCGTTATCTTTATCTCTATAAAATTCCCCTGTCACAGTGTTATTCTTATTCCCCGAAACGACTTGACCGATTTATATGAAATTTTTTGTGTATATTCGGTAGGTATGAGAATAGTTTTTCTTATATTTCTTATACCCCTGAGTAATAAGGGTGACCCACCACAATTATTTCTCCTTTAAAAGGATATTAAGAAAAAAGAGAAAAAAAAAACAAATGTTATGTGCGTATATTCAGACAATGTAAAATTATATGATGTGAAGTAAGTGGTGATCTTATGTTACCGTTCATGCGCAGTTCGTTCGATATTAAGARAAAAGAGGAAAAGAAGACAAATGTTACGTGCGTAGATTCAGATCTATCTATTTATTTATTAGCCACAGCAACGCGTGGCYGGGGCACCYCTAGTCTTTATATACTTATTACACTCACCATTATTTTTCGCTACTTCCTTCATTCTTTCTCGAAGTCTCCAGATCATCCCCGATAAACTAAAGACTGGATCTTTCCGATACTTTCGGATCGGGTAAGTTCAGGAGACTTCAGCGCATTCATAATACACAAAGCAATATTACCAAATGGTGGTAGTACATCTTTCAAATAAAATAATACACGTTTGCACGCACATATACATTCAATCGCCGCATGCAAATAAGGGCATATCCTAGATGTTATCATCAATACTTTTAGAAATATTCCTACACATGCACACACGTACTCTTTATCTTTTCTCTCACTCTTCTCGCATATGTTCCAAATATTCCCCATGAACATATTTACATAGGTTCAAATGTTCCACCGCGCACTCACTGAAATCTATAGCCGTATAAACAATTAAATTTTTAAAAATAAATTAATTATTTTAGAAATAAATTAATGGAATAAAAACCTAGCTGTATGCGAATGCAACGTTGTGCCAAAATTTCAAAACAATCAGTAAAGTACTTTAGAAGATTTGCGATTAGGCACATACGATATCTACATTTTTATATATATATAGATAGATAGATAAATATAGATTTAAGCGTAGAAAAACATTGCTGTTGTTCTAGCAAAAATCTCTCTTTCATTTTAATGGGTGCCTAGTAGATAATATACAGATTATCTAGATATTTAGCTGATTATCCAGAAGTTAAGCTTATCACGTAATATACGCTTATTCTTACATTTACGTGGCCCTTTTTATACACGTAAATTTTTTTTTACTCAGAAAATTAAATCTTTATTGTAACGTACTCAACCGCTTTCTTTTTTAAAGTGAAAACTTTTTTAGAATGGGAGTGATTTGAAAAAAATGAAACACAGTGCTGCGTAGAGCTGAAGCAACCTGTAGCAAAACGGAAGAAAGCAGAAAAAAGAGACAAACATATAGGATTGAGCCTGCGAGAGAATGAGACAGAATGTAGCTATATAGTTTTTCCTATTCTCGGTCTCCTCTTTATGCTCTGCTTCGTAGTTATCGCTCYTGGTTRTGTATGTGTGTGTTTGTGTGCGTYTCCRTAMTGCGAAGAGTGGACACATATTATTTCGATACTCCAACTGTTTGTTGGTAGGAGCGATAGAAGGGTAGAAGAATAAACAGAGATAAGAACGTAGGTATGCGACAAAAGTAAAAGGTCTAAACGAACCGACGGTAGAAATAAAGAAAGGAAGTGCGTGGTCTGCTTTTCTTTACCAAACGTATCATTTCTTTTCTATTTAAAAATATTTCTATTTTTTTATTGAAAAATTAATATTAAATTCTTTATTTCGCAAATATTATAAATAATAATTATGAAATATATAGAATATAATAATTGCATTGTCAGCAATATTTTACAAAAAAAAAAATGATTACAAGATTCATCAGAGAAAAAGAATTAGACAACACTGTAGAATATTTTTCTTATATTCTTATAAATATCTAAAGACGTGTTTTTTAATTTTAATGTTTGCGTATTAAGGAAATGTACACTAATTTTTCAATAAAACAGAAACATTTTTAAATAGAATAGATATAAATAGAAACTGGACACGTAAAACCAAAAAATAAACCATATTTTTTAATTTTATTTTCAGTAAAAATACAATAATGTATATTATTTCTAAAATATAGAAACAATTTTATAAATAAAAAATATTAAAAAACAAAATAAACAAAAAAATTTTTTTTTTAATTAAAAAAATTATAAAAAAACTAACAATGAAAACTAATAAATAATAGATTTTAATTTCGTTGTATTTCAAAGCTAGATGAACCGAAAAAAATACGACAACAATTTTTCCTTTCTTTTTACAGTATCTTAAGATATTTGTTGCAACAAAAAAACTACTTATTTGTGTAAACCCATAATAAAGATATCTCAATTTCAGAGAAAATGTGTCTGAATGAAACTAATGCCTGAGTTTCACGAAAAGGATATTTTATATTTACTTAATTTACGACGAATTATATTTCCTTTGATAAACATCCTATGATTTTGGTGTCTATTTATAACTATCGCATTCAGCATTCTATTTTTATTCCATAAATTTGGAAAAGTGTACTTTTTATCGGCCATATTCCACTCACTAAATCATACCGGTGACCTTTATTATATATATGGTAATAATATTATAATAAATAAATTCTACAATTATCTATCTTACTCTTGAAACTGTGCATTCGTCTCATTCTCTGCAAACTTAGATTTTTAAAGGTTTCACTTCTTACACGTGTGATATCTGCACACATGCTTTTTCTTTTTGTCTTTTACTCTTGAAATTATCGTCATCGAAGACAATTGTTAGATCATGTTAGTTTTCTAAGCCAATGAGCTTCGTGGGTGTCAGTATGAGTATCCAATAGGAATAAAGTACGCATATCCTAAAAGCTGATTTGCTGTAGAAAAGAAGGAACTGTCAGAGAAGTGGGGGCAGACATAGGTTTATAAATAGGATCGAGACGCGAAGCGAGCCATTTCTGTTCGACTTGTTGAGTCTTATGTTCTTTTTTTTTTTGTTGGTAAGATTGATCTGTTTCACGTAAAATCAGCGTATCTTTTATACGGATTGATCGTTAACAAAAAAGAATAATTTAGATTAAACATAATCAAATTTGAGAAAAAATATTTTTGATATTACCTGCAACTAGTATTATTTTATTATTGCTTATTGAAAATGTGCGTGCCGGCGGAGGTCTCAATCCATGAGCTAGCTACTACAGAAAAGGTAAAAGAAGCTTACTTTAGTTCTTAACATATTGCATGCAGCGTTCTGCTATTTCAGAGCCCACCTCATATTTTTATTTGCTGTTTATGTATACTAATTTATTATTTATATTAAAAAATGTCGCTTTTATCTCACCAAGTTAATTTTCGTTTAAAGTATTATTTAGTACATCTGATATTTCATCAAACAACAAAAATTGGCTTAAATTTTTATTTTCATTTAATACTATTTTAGAATTAGTGTTTCTTTCATAAATAAGTTATTATAAATCATCATTTAATGATTGAAAAAATAATTATTTTTAAAAAGCTTTTTTCTTACAAATTATCATAATACACGATTCTTGAAATAACAGAATGCCGAACATTAAACTACTTTTTAAGGTAAGATGTGTAAAATATATATAATATGTAACTATATGTATATGTTTTTATGTGTATACGGTAACTAACAATGTCCGTCTGAGTTTTACGCTCTCGGACTGTAGACATTCATTTTGTTTTTCGTTAATCATTTGTTAGGAGAATATAATATATGATTTTATTACCTTGGTAACGTAACAAGAAAATTTATTTTTAATTCCTTTATTCAATCTTTTCAGTCCAAAAAAAATTTGAAAACGATATACCCACACATTATGTTAACATTTTATGATAACATTTTAACTTCTTATTTTAACTCTACTACCTACACCTCTTCTTTATTCTTTCCATTGTCCTATTGTTATTTATTCTCATCTTTTTCCTTAACTTTTTCTTTCTTTGAAATCCCTACTTCTTCTCTCCATAGCAGATAAACGATTTTATGACCGTGTTTTGTTTTTGGCAACGCCATAAGTACACGCGTGCACACAAAACACACCCCAGCGCGCACGCGCGGATCACATACATCCATACATACATATACTTGTCTCATATACTACACAACGCGGACAAAAGAAAGTATAACATTTTTTGTAGCTTTATTTCTAAGAAATTTATCTT